GGGGACAACGAAGACTGAGAACGAGGGAAAACAGCGGGAGAGGGGTCAGGAGGAGGAAGCGGAGGACCAGAGACGGGAGGAGAGGGGGAGGAGGAAGGAGAGCGAGAGGGGAGACCAAGGGTCCGAAGACCCGAGACAGGAGGAGGAGACGGCTGCTGCTGCTGCTGCTGCTGCTCCTGCTGTTGTTGCTCCTGCTCCTCGAGCCGCTGCAACTCTCGCTCCTCTCTCTCCAACTCCAGCTGCTCCTCACGAGCACGGCGAACACGAGCCTGGAACCTGGTCGGGTAGGGGTGGGGGGAAGGAGTAGTGTCCGGAGCAGCGGCAGCCCCAGAGTCCACCTCCGAAGCACCAGGCACACCACCCCCAGAGGCAGCACCAACACCAGCTCCAGACCCAGGCTCACCAGAAACCGAAGGGGGGTCACCCTCACCCCCAGACGCAGCACCCCCAGACTCCGCACGACCAGCACCAGCTCCCGGAAGACAAGAGTCCTCTGCAACCCGCGGCTCAGCTCCAACTCCAGCACCCCCAGAACTAGAAACCGGTACAGGGACAGTCTCAGTACCAACCTCTCTAGAGCGAGCACCTGCAGGACGCGGCGAGGAAGACTGTGGGGAGGGAGGCTGTACCGGAGGGGCTACCGAAGGGGGAGGGGTAGCCTGGGACACACCGGACGGGGCTGGACCAGGGGGGGAGGCTGTACCGGGGGAGCAGGCGGGGGAGCGGCACTCAGGAAGAGAGGGGGGGGAGGGACCGGGAGACCTCGACTAGGGTACATGACGTAGTAGGGGGTGGACTCCTCGAAACTGACGTCACGGGAGTCAAAGAACTGGTGGTAAAAGGTGAAGTCAGAGGAGTCCTCAAGGAAACCAAGGAAGACACAAGGAACGGCGCGAGGCGAGAGCTTGTACGCGGAGGTGTCTCGGACAAGAGCCAAGCACCCCCAGACACGAAACCTCGACGCAACACCAGGGGACCCGGTCCAAAGACTGGTCGGTGAAGCCTCTGGCCGAGAGACGCGTGGCCAGAGGTTCAGCTGGTGCGCGGCGTACCTGACCGCGTAGGGCCACAGAAAATGGGGGGCACGGGCGTGAGTCAGGGAGGTGCGGGCAATCTCCATGACCAAGCCTATGCGACGCTCAGCAACCCCATTCTGCTGTGGGGACTCTGGAAGCGTCCAGGACTGACGAATGCCCTGCTCGCGACAGAATCCAGCGAGAATGCCGGAGCGAAACTCACCCCCGCGGTCGGAGTGGAGACAGCTGACACGACGACCACGAGTGTCCTGCGTGGTAAGCAACCACCTGATCAGCGTAGAAGTCACCTCAGACTTCCTCGCCAGGGGGAACACTGTGGTGTAGCGGGAGTAGTCGTCAACGACCACCAAAAAGAAACGCTCACGCTCAGGGCCAGGGCGAGGAGAGGGGCCCCAGACGTCCAAGTGCAGCGTCTCAAAAGGCTCGGTGGCCGGACGAAGGGAGGAGGAGTGAGGGGTGGCGCGCAGCCGACCCTCGACGCAGGGACCGCACGGCGGCGCAAGCGAAGGCGGCAGCGACGGCAAGACACGCGGGAGGCCTAAGACAAGACGCTGACGAGACATAGCGCGCAGACGAGGAAGGGACGGGTGCCCCATCCGGTGGTGCCACAGGACGGTGGGGTGGGCAAGGGACCGGCAGGAGCAAGACGCAGCGACTGGACCAGACGCAGGAACCTGACCAGACACAGCTACCTGGGGGGAAGGAGCAACCTGGTGAGACGCGGGGACTCGAGCGGAGGGCGGTACAGGGGCCGGGGGCAGTAGGAGCGGCTGCTGCTGCGGCTGCCGCTGCGGCTGCTGCTGCTGCTGCGGCTGCTGCTGCGCCAGCGGGCCAGTGTGAAGAGTGTAGAGACCGGAGCCCGGCTCAGCAGTAAAGGTGGCCAGCGGCTGGTAAGAGTCTCCGTCAACACACACCGCAGTCTCTCCGCTAAACCACACACCCACGTGCTGACTCACGAGGGGTCGCACGCCCACCAAGTTCCGGGAGAACGAGGGGACGTGAAACCCAGTGAGAGACCCGGAGGGAGCAGCAGGACACGGCAAGGTGGTAGTGTGACGCGCAATGACTGGTCCCGAGGTGGGATCAGCCAACGCCACAGAAACAGGCGCAGGAAGTGGTGTAAGTGTCGTGCTGTCACGGAAGAAGCAGTGTGAGGCTCCAGAGTCCAGCGTGAACGACAGCGAGGCGTCCTCCGAGGTAGCCGCTGGTCTAGAGTCTACACAAGAACCTACACTAGCAACAGGCAACTGAGCAAGACTAGCACCTAAGCTAACAACACCAGAGTAAACAGAGTCAGAAACACTAGAGTCAACAACAGCATACATAGCATGAGGAGCACCAATCAGATCAACTAACTGCTCAGCAGACATGCCCCACAGAGCGGAGCCGTAACGCTGAACAAGAGGAAGCCAGTCAGGGGCAGGACTGCCGACCCCGTAGACCAAACGAACCGTGTCAGTGAGCTGAGCAAAACACTGACCAGGGGGGTGAAAGCGGCCACAAGGGTGGCCCCGACGAGGACCTGTCAGAACCTGATAGGTGCAGGGAGGGTAAGCAGCACCGCGCTGGGGCTGACGCAGCCCCGACCCCGGAGCCAGCTGCTGCCGCTGCTGCTGCTGAGGCTGCTGGGAGGAGAGGGGCTGCTGCTGCTGCTGAAGCTGCTGCTGACGCTGAGCCTGGTACCACGCCGCTGCTCCACCTAGCGGGGCCGGCAGTATAGGAGGCGACTGACGAGCTCGGGTGTCGCCACCACCAGCAGGCGCAGTGGAGTCACCAGCCGCTGCACGAGAGGTCTCTCCAGACGCTGCACTCCCACCACCGCCAGTCGCAACAGCACCCCCACTACCTCCGCTACCTCCGCCTCCACCTCCACCAGAACCACCTTTCTTGCCCCCCCTGCCGCGGGACCGCGACGCAGTCGTAACAGCAGCTGCAGTCGCGTCAGTAGCGGCAGTGGCGAGAGAGGCAGTGAAGGTGGGTAACTGCGGGACTGTGCACCCGTGGAAGAGTGGTGGGGGCACAGCACCAGAGGCGGCAGCTACCGAGCGAAGGTTGCTCTCGACGTCCTTGAGCGCAGACTCAAGGACCTCGACGGTGAGCTCACTAGGGTGCTTCAGCAGAAGCACGTCACGAACGGAGGCAAGGCGGTCAGGGAGGCTAGTGGCGATGAAATAGATAGTAATCGCCATGGGGGGAGGAAGCAGTGCAAGCTGTGCCTCAGTGCAAGCAGCGCGGTAACTAGCGTCGAGCGAGCGGAGGTGAGCGATCAAGTCAGCAGAGCGCTCAAACGAGGCGAGATCAGGAAACAGGAACGGGAGGAAAAGACGGCCAAGAGAGACAGTAGCGGGAGTAGAGTAGCGGGCCTTAATCGCAGTGAGGTACGCAGCAGCGGTGCGAACCTGAGTGAAGTGGACCTCCTCTGACTCAGGGAGGAGGCTGCTGAGTGCGATGCAGGCCGCAGCGTCACGCGACGTCCAAGCCGTCCGGACAGCGCGCTGACGGGCAAAGTGAGCCGTAGCAGTGTCGTCAGGGGCAGAGCCTAAAGCGGTAGGCTCGGGGGGATCGGGAAGGTCACCAGTAGCGTGCGACCAGAGGGTCTCGCCCCCCTGGACCTGACTCTCTAACAGACGGCGAGCGCGAAGAAGCCAGACGGAAAAGTCAAGAGGTCTACCGTCAGCGTCGAAACGAAGAACTCGCGGAGTCGCCATAGCGAGAACTAACGCGAACGAGCAGGCGAGTAACAGCAGGAGGTAAGAGGCAAATTAGGGTTCAGGTGGGGGGAGGGACTCAGTCGCAGCGGAAGAACGGGCTAGGGCGACGGGCCAGGGCGTAGGGTAGGGCGACGGGCGCAGGGCAAGGCGACGGGCCAGGGCTCGGCGACGGGCGCGGGGCAGGGCGACGAGCCAGGGCGCGGCGACGGGCGCGGGGCAGGGCGACGGGACGGGGGAAAGGGCGGGCGCGACGCGACGGGGCAGGGCGGCGGGACGGGGCAGGGCGACGCGACGGGGCAGGGCGAGGCGACGGGGTAGGGCGACGCGACGAGGAAGGGCGACGGGACGAGGGGAAAGGGCGGGCACGGAACGGGCGCGACGCGACGGGGGGAAAGGGCGCGACGCGACGGGGGGAACGGGCGCGACACGACGGAGGGAAAGGGCGCGACGCGACGGGGGGAAAGGGCGCGACGCGACGGGGGGAAAGGGCGCGACGCGACGGGGGGAAAGGGCGCGACGCGACGGGGGGAACGGGCGCGACACGACGTGACGGGGGGAAAGGGCGCGACGCGACGGGGGGAAAGGGCGCGACGCGACGGGGGGAAAGGGCGCGACGCGACGGGGGGAAAGGGCGCGACGCGACGGGGGGAAAGGGCGCGACGCGACGGGGGGAAAGGGCGCGACGCGACGGGGGGAAAGGGCGCTAGGCGACGGGGGGAAGGGCGCTAGGCTCGGCACTAGGCGCGGTAACAACGGAACCGGTACGAACGAGAGGTAGGATCAGGCTTGGGCGGTACGAACGGAGAACGGAGGAACGGGATCCCACAGGATCCTAACCTATCTGATACCATGTCAGAATGAGGAATGAATGATGCATTGATGTTGGTTGGGGTACATATAACAAACCCTAACTTCTGTACCCCCTAAGACAAACCTCACTACAGGCTACAACATTTGACAATTGTCACCAGCCCAATCAGGACACTGGCATGTGCAAAATTATTACACAACCAGTACTATGGGTACCGATACTATGGCATTTAACTGGTGCACACACAATACCGTACAACTCCGATTTTTTGGAGCGCCTCAATAATCATTACAGCCAGCATGGCAATTTCCTAGTGCAGACACAGCACATGGCTCCCTTCCGATTGTTGAGGCGCCCAGAAAACCGGAGAAATAAGCAGTGTGGTGTGGCGTTTCTATGGTGCAATACGCAATACACCACATGGCTCCAGATTCTGTACTGTTAGCAACCAAACCAGCACGCACTACTCGGCTGCACGGCCAGCACGGACCGCACGGAGTGCCCCTTGTTGTCCACCCACGTGAGGCTGCCGAACTTGAACGACTGTGAAGCCCACTTCACCACCACAGTCACCGTGTACGTCTTTTGTTGCCCCGGTGCGATCGTAAACCTTGACGGTGAGACCTTCACATTTACTCCGGGAGGTCTCTTAATCCTCACTGTATAAGTCGACGTGGTATCCGCGACATTTGTAACAGTCCGTGTAACTGTAGCTTTAACGTGCACTTTGGGCAGCGAGATAGCTGGCCAATTGAGATTCTTCGCTGCAATGGCTTTCAGAGAAGCTGTACCGAATTCACCCCGCGCTCTGTTATAATTTTGCCCAGCGAGAAAGTTTCTGAAGTCCTGCTCCCCAGCATCATAGGTTAACCCAGGGTTAACCACCCTAGCAGGCACCACATGCCCTGCTCCAATCTCCCACGGCGACGCAGCCTTCCCATACTCGTTTTTAATCGCCCCTTTTCTGCTATTACTCGTCCGCGCTGTAGTCATCATAGCTGACATGATCTGCGAGGGCGTCCAATCAGGATGATCAGAGCAGCTATGCCAGCGATGTGTGGTGTGGCCATGGACGTCCCTGACAGGGCTTGGAACGAGCCTTTGGAGCCGACGGTGGTGCCGGGAGCAGCAGCGTAGAGCTCTACCCCCGGGGCGATGATGTCGGGCTTGAGGATGGTGTTGGAGGGGTAGGCGGCAGGGGTGGAGCGTGATGGCTTGGCGAGTGGGCCGGTGGAGGAGAAGTAGGCGACTACCGGGGCGGCGGTGGCTGCTGGAGAAATTCTGGCTGGGATGCGCGCTCCACTGAGGGTTGACACTGTGGTGGGTTTGGTGGCTGAGATGGCTGCAGGGGATGTGGTGTTGGTTGGAGCTTCTAGGGACGCTGCTGTTGCTGCAGCTGATGCTGTTGTGGAGGAGAGGGATGCTCCATTGCGGAGAATGGTGCTGCAGGGCGTGGCAGCAGAGGGGAGTGGGCAGCAAAGGGGAGTGGGCACGGGGTATGATGCCTTTGCTGAGAAGAGCAGGAGAGGAATGAGTAGAGAGCAGCGGGGATGTGAGAGGCGGAGGGATGAACAAGGGCGAGGGTGTGAGGGGAGGGATGAACAAGGGCGAGGGTGTGAGGGGAGGGATGAACAAGGGCGAGGGTGTGAGGGGAGGGATGAACAAGGGCGAGGGTGTGAGGGGAGGGATGAACAAGGGCGAGGGTGTGAGGTGGAGGGATGAACAAGGGCGAGGGTGTGAGGTGGAGACAGCACACGGCCAGCCCACTTCTTCCCCCTTCTCTTTGTACCTGGTGCCTGGGGTCACGTGGTCATGTGGGGTCACGTGGTCATGTGGGGTCACATGGTCATGTGGGGTCACATGGTCATGTGGTAGCGCAACGTTCGTCCTTGCAATCATCGCTGCCATTCCCCATCCCTCACGTCCTTTTCCCCCTCCTCACCTGGCGCCCACGGTCATGTAGTAGGGCGAGAAGTTGCAGAGCGTGCGATAGCCCGTGGGTGCAAAGGCTGATGGGCGGCCGTCGTTGCCCGCTGAAAACGCCACAAACACCCCCGCCTGACGAGGGGAGGGAAGGAAAGTGGGAGGGAGAAGAGAGATAGAGAGAGGAGAGAAGATGAGTGTTGGGGAGGGGGGGTGATGCGAGTGAGGGGAGAGCGATAGAGGGAAAGAGCGGTGTAAGTTTCTGCTTGTTGACAGGCTGCTGACACCTTGTGCGCTGAGAGGGTGGGATGGGGGAGAAGGGTGGGTGAAAAGGGCAAAAAGAGCAACGAAGAAGTGACGAGTCGGAACACAGCATCAAGGGAAAGGCGCAGAAGAGGAATGACAAGAGTGGGAAGGGAGAGGAGTGGGCGACGAGAGAGGCAGTAGCAGTGAGAGAGGAGAGGAGGAGCGAGGGAAAAGTCGGGCCGAATTCATGGCTGTCCATGTATGCTCTGGATAAGCACTGGAATCAGGCACCGCACTGCACCTGCACACACCGCATTGCCACTCACCGCGTGGACGCTGATGAAGGGCACGTCGTCAAAGTAGGTGTCGGTGGGACTGGCTCCGCCCAGCGACAGGCTCAGCACATCCACACCGTCGGCCATGGCCTGATCAACGGCTGAGAAGATGTCTGGGCTCGTGGCGTACAGGTCCCCATTGGCCTGCCAGAACACCTTGTAGATGGCCAGGCGTGCCCCCGGCGCCATGCCACTGGCCGCGCCGATGCTGCGGATCGGCACGTTGTTGTTGCCTGCTGCTGCCCTGGAGGGAGAGAGAAAAGGAGAGGACGGTTGAAATAGGTTTGCGAGGACGATGAGGGAAGGGTCTCTGTGCCATATGTGCTGGCACCAGCAACCACATACCTCGTGCCATGCACCGGTGCTCACCGTTCACCATGCACCATGCTCGCACCATGCACCATGCACCATGCACCACGCACCATGCACCATGCACCATGCACCATGCACCATGCTTGCACCATGCTTGCACCATGTGTTATGAACCACGAACCATGCACCGCACCATGCGCCGTGTACAATGCGCCAAACAAGAATCCTGAACACCACGTGTGCCACACAAACACTCACCCCGCACACCACGTGCCGTGCCCAGCAGAATCGCGCGGTGAGTTCCAGTCGTACGAGAGGTCGAGGGTGGTGCCGCCGCTCTCAAACCCCGCGTGGAAGATGCCCCCCGCGATGATCTTGTTGTTGCATGCGAAGTCGCTTGTAGTGGGACACGTACCCGCCCATCCGACAGGGAGCGTGCTGCTGTAGCCCTGCTTCCCAGGATTAGGGGGAGATTCGATGGGGTGTGGGTTGGAACGTGGGGAGATGTGATGGGGTGGGGCGTGGGTTGGAACGTGGGGAGATGTGATGGGGTGGGGTGTGGGGTGGAACGTGGGGAGGGGTTCGTGAATGCAATGCTGGTCGAGAGGGCAGGAACGGCAAGGTCTGCCAGAAGGGGACAGCGAGGCAGGGAAAGTGAAGGAGAAGCACGGATGGCAGCAGCAAGGCGAGGCACAACGTATGATGTTGTCAAAGGAAGCATGTGCTTGCCACACGTCCGTGTCCACAATGCCCATCACCATGCCGTCACTATTGATACGCTATTGATCCCACTGGGGTCAGGTGTAGCCTACCGTGTCCACGCCTCAAATGAGGCGTGTTCCGGCCTCACTCCCGTGTCCGCTCCACGATGTGAATCGTCTCAACATACACTGGCGGTGAAAGCGACGCATAGTGCCGCAACTCACCATGTCGTCAAACGAGGTGTGCTCAGGCCATATGCCTGTATCCACTATGCCGATGACGGTCCCGTCCCCCGCGCTGCTGGGCCCGCCCGCGTCGGCCCACAATGAGGAGGGCAGGCCGAGGAAGTTGTACGAGTGGGTGGTGGCGGGGCGCAGCACGCGCGCCTGCGTCACGGACGCCACTGATGGATGCCGCCTCATCCGCCGCACCTGCGCTGCCGTGAGCGTCGCTGAGAAGCCGTTTGACGCGTGCTTGTAGCTGCGGAGGGAGGGCGGGCGGGCAAGGGGAAGAGAAGAGAGGACGCGCAGGGGAGGTCAGGCAGGGGAAACAAAGGGGTGAGGGTTGCTGAGAAGCCTTTTGACGCATGCTTGTAGCCTTTTGACGCATGCTTGTAGCTGGCGTAGCGGAGAGCGGAGAGGGAGGAGCAGGGGGAGGTGGGGGGTTGGGGGAGGGGATGGGGTGTGTGGGAGGGTGGAGGAACCGGAGGGGAGATGGAAGTAGGGAAGGGGAGTGGGGAGAAGGGAAGCCCGTGCAAAAAAGTTCGTCAGTAATAACAACCCCCTCAATCCCCTCATTCCCCTCACCTATACACCATCTTCACCTCACCCCCTCATTCCCCTCACGCTCACCTTTACACCATCTTCTCACACAATAAAGTTCCCCTCATTCCCCTCTCTCCCCTCACCTATAGAGCATCTTCCCCTCACCTATAGAGCATCTTCCCCTCACCTATAGAGCATCTTCCCCTCACCTATAGAGCATCTTCCCCTCACCTATAGAGCATCTTCCCCTCACCTATAGAGCATCTTCCCCTCACCTATAGAGCATCTTCCCCTCACCTATAGAGCATCTTCCCCTCACCTATAGAGCATCTTCCCCTCACCTATAGAGCATCTTCCCCTCACCTATAGAGCATCTTCCCCCTCACCTATAGAGCATCTTCCCCTCACCTATAGAGCATCTTCCCCTCACCTATAGAGCATCTTCCCCTCACCTATAGAGCATCTTCCCCTCACCTATAGAGCATCTTCCCCTCACCTATAGAGCATCTTCCCCGCGTCCACCCCGCTGTCTCTCAGCACGGCCTGCTGCATGCGCTGCAGCAGCTGCTTGAACGCCCTCACGCCCGGCGCCCTCACGTTCAACCGCGGCCGCCGCAGCGGACGGCCAAACCGCCCGCGATTGTTAGTAGTAGCCGCATCAGCGGCGGCGGAGGAGGAGGAAGCAGAAGCGGCGCCAACGGCTCCAGAACCGTTTGGGGCGTCGTCTGCCGTCGCATCTGTCGCGTTGCCGTTAGGGTCGCTCACCCAGACGGCCGTTGCCGGGTAGCCGGGTAGTCCGCCGCGGTACGAGGCGACGGGTGGCGCGGAGCGGAGGCGGACGATGTAGAGCGCGGAGACGTCGGGTGGGGAAGCTGCGGGGTATGGGGGGAAGGGCGGAGAGAATGCTTGCAATGAACCTGGCGCGGCGCGGGATTTGAACACGCAAGTTCGCCACACTTCCTACGCGCACCTAGCTTGCAATGAACCTCAATGCGCTGACTGCCCCACCTGAATGAACCTCAATGCGCTGACTGCCCCACCTGAATGAACCTGAATGCGCTGACTGCCCCACCTGAATGAACCTGAATGCGCTGACTGCCCCACCTGAATGAACCTGAATGCGCTGACTGCCCCACCTGAATGAACCTCAATGCGCTGACTGCCCCACCTGAATGAACCTGAATGCGCTGACTGCCCCACCTGAATGAACCTGAATGCGCTGACTGCCCCACCTGGAAGGTACTCGGTAACAATCTATTCAACAACAGTAAAAAAATGCTTGACTGTCATTGAGTCAACAGCCGAATGGTAGCATCTTCTAGGTTACCACGAGCGTCGATCACGCGTGCGGCGGTGTTAGTACCGTTGGTGGGCCGGAGCAGCGGCGTTGCGGATAGCGAGACGAGGAACACGAGGAGGAGAAAACGGGTTCGTGTTTTCTGGCGGGTTTGTTCAAGGCTGCAGTGCACGCGGCAGTGAGAGCGGTGCAATAGAGGGAATTCTTTTTGGGGATGGTCGAGGGGGAATGGCGGCGCAGGAATGAGACTGAGCGAGTCAGAGTGCTTTCGCCAAGAGACCATTTTCAGGGTCTGGCGTTGGCGTAACCTCGGAATGCAAGCTTGGTCGCGTGTTGGTGTTTGCTAGGTATGACCGTTCGAGGCAGGGGACGATGTAACCTCGGAATGCGTGCAAGTTTGGTGTGCGCTAATGACTCATAAGAGCTCGGAACCTCGGAACCCACTGCGAAATTTAACATTCGTCGCGAACCGCGACTCCTATTGGCAAGCCAGGCCTCGTCCTGTGCTGTGATGGATTTTGCAAGTGGAAAAATGCCGACTGCCGTCATTTCACATGGCAAGCTGAGAAACCGAATCACGCCTGCCTCCATTCTTCTTCCTCGTCTCTTGCTCGCCTACTTTTTCTCTGAACGGGTTACTCACGCGGCTGGGTGCAATTAGTCGCATGAGTAACGCGTTAGTCGACGGGCTGGGATGCGATGGGGGAAGGGAAGGGCGACTTAAACTAGAGCCGGGTTACCCGGTCGTCAGTTGCCGCTCGTGTTCCCCGCGATTCAAGTTTCATTGCTGGGTTGCGGCGATTGCGCCTTGCCGAGTTGCGCGGAATTGGCGGAATGGGCGATGCAATATGGAGAGAATTGGCGAATGAAATCGAGTTTCGTCGTCCGGTATGGTGGTGGCCGAGGAGCGGGTTGGGTGGGTTCAGGGCAGCTCATTTGAAAAGCAAGGACTTGTGGGCATGTGCCGAGAATACGTTCGAATGCGGCTCAATGGTGCTCGGTACTATCTAAAGCGGTCTATTTGAGGTTAGTGGGTGTTACATTGCGCGCTGGTCCATTTACAAGGAAATGGACCAGCTAATGCAAGGGGGTACCATTTTACAGGGGCCACTTCCAAAAGTGGTACCCACCTGGTACCTGCGGGCAAGAAAAAAACTAAACCCACATCGGAAGGCATGCCATTCGGGAGCCTCAACCCTATAATTTTAGGGCACAGATATTTGTGAAGCGCGTGTTTAGGGGTTGCTTCACGAAAGCTTGTCATGAACGATCTTGGAGTCTACGGGGTTACATGCACCTGATTGGGTAGGAAAAATTGCTCAAACTCGTTTAGGTGTGTATCCACATTCGCATGGCACGTGGAGTGGGTGTGGTCAGTGGCAAAACTGCCACGCTGGACCCAAATATCTACACTTTTGGGCCTCTTGGGGCTACTTCGCTTGGGGGAACTTGCTGTGAATGCCGTCTGAGGTCGCATTTCGGACCTCCAAACAACCAACTTCCTAACAAGTTGGTCGTCGCACACGTCCAAACATGTTAGGAGGTTGGTTTTTGCACCTCTGAACAAACAACATCCATCACTGACATTGTCCATCGCAAATGTACAGTGGCGGTAAAGTGGCGGGACATTTCACCCACTGCGATGACCTGTCACTTGGTAACAAATGGTAACACTTGGTCGCAGCTGTTCGGGCAGCTGATACAGAGTTGTTAGGAGGTTCACATCGCATGAAGTCGCACAAAGTCTCAGAAAATCGGAGAGATGTCGCTTGTTAGGAAGTTGCTTGTTTGGAAGTAGCCCGAAATGCGACCTGAGATGGATTGCGGCGGACCAGCTCTGCACAGTGCATGCAGCTTCGAAAACGAACTATTAACGAAAATACAAGTGTATCTGGTCACGTTTGAACGAGATGTCGCAACCGGCATAGATTTCTTGCAAAAGAAATATAGTGTAGTTTTCGCATGCCTTGGGTCGTTCTGGAAATGGTCCTGCATGTGGAGCGTCGTTTTCGTACGTGCGCCTCATTCTGTACACGCTGGTCCGTGGGCGGGTGCAAGTCGGGTCCACACCTGGTCTGTGGCTGGTCCGCAGCTGGGACTCGCCGGGCCGCGGAGGATTGGCCTGGGCCACTGCGGACCAACTGCGATCTAGCGCAAATGTAACAGCCCCTTAGAGTGGTTTAGCAGGGTATCGTGCAAAAAAAGTCATCGTGGAACACACCTTGTAACAAGCCTTGTTTCTATTACATTCCACTCGTAAGATCGTTGATAATAATATAGCAAAAGCACATGAGTACCTGTTAGCCGTGACATTCAAAAATTGAAGGGAAAGTACATCCAGCTCCTAAGTTTCTGATTTTTCTCTCACTCCCAAGTTTACTCAAAAAGTCTCTCTAGTGCAATCTTGCTCACGCGATGCCCAAATTATGTTCAAAACTAGTCATGCAGGGCAAACTAATTACGAGACAGAAAACATAAAACCCCCAGGAAAACTATGACACATTTTCGGGAGGGATCAACACGGGAACCCACTCGATGTTTAGGGTTGATCCCTCTCGAAAATATGTCATGGTTCCCCTAGGGGGTTTACGTTTTTGCCTTGTAATAAAAATGGGCACGTGTCGAAAATTTTGCCCCGCAGGACCAGTTTTGAACAAAATGTTAGCCTCGTTTGAGCAAAATTCCGCTAAGTCAGACTTTTTGGATAAACTTTGGACTAAATTTGAGAGATTCTTTAAATTAAGGAGCTGGCATATACTAGTTTTTGAGATTAAGGAGATTTTAAGAAATTAAATTCTAAGATGACTCATTGACAGGGTAGTTTAGGTACTAGCAACAGTAGCACTCATTGACTTGGAAACTACTTGCTCAGCAAATCACTACTCGTTGTGGGCTTATTTCGAGAATGTGTTCGACGTTCATTTACTCGTGCTTACATTATGGGACTTGCTTTTGTACCTTGCAAAGGTTACTCGCAAGTAGATAAGTGACAAATTGCAGTTGCATATCTTTAGGCTGTAGCGGGGCATACTCTAAGGGGTACAACACTTTAGGTCAACCCTACTTGTATCACCCTGCTGCAAACTCCAATCATTCTTGCACGTTATTTCTGACATGGTATCAGAGCAGGTCCATCAGTAGGACCGCTCATTTAGGGCCCACCGTTAGTTCCGTTCTGACCGTTTGTCCTGCCTGAATCGCGCCCCTAGGCGAGCCGTTTTTCCTGCGCGAATCGTGCCCCTAGGCGAGCCGTTTTTCCTGCCCGAATCGCGTCCCTAGGCAGCCGTTTTTCCTGCCCGAATCACACCCCTAGGCGAGACGTTTTTCCTGCCCGAATCGCGCCCCTAGGCGAGCCGTTTTTCCTGCCCGAATCGCGCCCCTAGGCGAGCAGCTTTTCCTGCCCGAATCGCGCCCCTAGAAGGGCCGTTTTCCCGTGCGACCTGCAGCCCGCGCGCCGCCCTGCCCTGCAGCCCGCTCGCTGCCCTGCCCTGCAGCTCGCGCGCCGCCCTGCCCTGCCCTGCAGCCCGTGAGCCCTCCAACCCGCGCGCCGCCCTGCCCTGCAGCCCGCGCGTCACCCCGCCCTGCAGTCCGCGCGCCGCCCTGCCCTGTAGCCTGCTCGCTGCCCTGCCCTGCCCTGCTGCCCGCACGCCCAGTTGCCCTGCCCTGCAGCCACCGCACTGCCCTGCCCTGCAGCCCATGCGCTGCCCTGCCCTGCAGCCCGCGCGCCGCCCTGCACTGCAGCCCGCTCGCTGCCCTGCCTTGCAGCTCGCTCGCTGCCCTGCCCTGCAGCCCATGAGCTGCCCTGCTCTGCTGCCCGCACACCCTGCAGCCCGCGTGCCCTGCAGCCAGCGCGCACCACACTGAAGCCCACGCTGCCCTGCCGCCCACGAGCCTGCGCTGCCCACGCCATGCACGCCTTGCTGCACGTGTGCCCTGCTGCTAGCGCGCTCTGCTGCCCACGCACCCTACTGACCTCTACAGTCACTCCTACAGTCAAAACTGCTCTTGCAGCCACAGCACCTGCCCTTATAGTGACTACCGCTACTGCTACAGCTGCAGCTACAACAGTCGCTACTGACGCCTTTGCGCCACTGTTACTGACTGCCACTTCTTCTCATGGCCACTATCACGGTCGTAGCAGCGTCTGGGGGAGGACACCAGCAGCAGCGTCAGCCGGAGACTCTATTACCGCAGCAGCTTCGAGAGTGGGTTATTCGGCGAGGCCGCTCTGGTGCTGGAGCTTGGGATTTTGGATGTGCTGGAGGTACTGGACAGTAGCGACAGTCTCGTCACCATGAGACTCTCTCGCCACAGCAACTTCGTGAGTGGATTATTCAAAGAGGTCGTCCTGGTGGTGGAGGTTATGGTGCTGGAGGTACTGGATAGCAGCGTCAGCAGGAGATCCTCTCACCGCAGCAACTTCGCAAGTGGGTTTCTCAGCGACGCGTCCCTTATAGTGCAGAGGCTACTAGTCTCGGTGTCTGTGAGCCTGGTAGCACAGGTGCAGCTTCTGTGGAGGCTTTGCACACCTTTACACTTGACTCAGGCGTGACTCACTGCTTCTTCCGCGACTGCACCACAGTCACACCGCTCACTGCACTTGTCTCGGTCTCTCTAGCTTGACCCTCTGGGGGCCCAGTCGTAGCACGTGCCTCCACCGTTCTCCTGTGTTAGGCAGCCCCCTCAGGCTCCCTCACAGGTTTCCACCTCCCCTCGTTCTCTACGAACTTGGTGAGAAGCGCTGTCCTCCAAGACCAGTTTGTCACTGTGACTACTCTTGGGGGTGGGCTTGTGGCGATCTGTACGGACTCACAGACTGGCGCCCAACTCGCCACGTTCACTCGGAGACCCGGGTCTGGCCTGTACACACTGACCACTGAGTCTGCGCAGGTAGCTGCGTCCGGTCAGTAAGCTGTGTCTTGTTCGTGTTGGCTACTCACGCACTTGACTCTCCTCGGGCACCACCATCTTGGTCACCCCTCTCTGCCACGCCTGCGTGGCATGCACTCTCGCTACCTGGTCTCTGGTCTTCCCAGGTCCCTGCCCCCGCACCCGCGCTCGCCTATGCCGCCGCCCTGCCTTCCTTGCGTCGAGGGGTGGCAGCGCGCCACTCTTCACTCCTCATTTCTGTTCTCCGACCACTGCTCCTCTGCAGACTCTCCACATGGATGTGTGGGGCCCAGCTCACGTCCATGGACAGGACCAGGAGCGCTACTTCCTGCTGGTTGTTGACGACTACACGCGCTACACCACGGTCTTCCCCTCGCGGAGCAAGGCGGATGTCCCCGATGTTTTGATCCCCTGGATCAGTCCTGTTCGTCGCCAGCTGAGAGCGCGGTTTCAGCATGACCTCCAGGTCCTGCGACTGCATTCTGACAGAGGCGGTGATTTTTCCTCCCGCCTCCTCGAGGGTTTTTGTCGTGCGGAGGGCATTGTCCAGTCGTTCATGCTTCCGGCCT